ACCCGACGCCATGCTGGAACGGATGGGCAAAGCCCTGGGGTGTGGAAGTCAGAGCATCTCCCACACTCCCAACCCTGTGCAGCCTGCTTCCTAACACACCTCCCTCTCCCCTCCTCAGGCCGGCTGCCTCTTTATTCTCTGACCTCATCTCCTGCCCCAGCCCTGCATGGCCTCCTCCGTGCTCCTCGACCCGGCCAGGCCTGGGCCTCCCTCTTTGCCCTTGGGCTTGCTCTTCCCTCATCTTGACTCACAGCACCTTCTCACAAGCCTCTGTGACAGACAGCCCAACACACCTGCCACCTGCCTGCCTCCCAAGACGTGCACTACTTCCAGCCTGGCTTTACTTAACTCTAGTACTATGCTGTTTGCTTTACCAGTTCATTTTACTGTATCCCAGGTCAACAAAGTGGATGCTCCAGAAGGACAGAGATCTCTGACTGCTCCCTGATGTCTGCACCCAGGCTGTCTGGCCAGGCCCAGATGCTTAGAAATGGCCACTGATGAGACTCCAGGCCCACTGTGCTCAGAGAAGGGCATGGGTGGGTGGGACAATTCTGCAGGTCCCCTCCGGTTGTGTGAGTCCCCCTTCTGGCCATGGGCCAGCTTTGGGGGACACCTTCTGAAGCTCAGGGCCTTCTACCCACTGGGAGGTCTGTTCAGAAGTAGAAGTGACAGCCGGGCCAAGTGAAGCATCAGTTCTCCCCTCTCCTCCTCCTGCACAGCAAGACACCGCATCATTCCACCTTCTGGGCATCGCCACCTCTGCCCTCCCAGGCCAAAGACAGACACTTTCATCCTCCAGCTCCAGGCCTCGGTCTGAGAACACTTCACAGAGGAACATCACCACACCTGGCTTTCTTCTCTCCTTCTTTCTCTCGCCCTGGCAGGATCAGATAACACAGAGCCTCTGTTCCTAGGGGACCTGAGCTGACAGGTTCTGTCATTGCCCCTCTTCCATCTGTTTTCCCCCAAGGAGCTGCCCAGTGAGATGTTTGGAAACAGGAACAACTGCCCTTGCTCTGCCTCCTTAGCAGCATCCTGGTCAGTCTGCCCCCCTCTGCCTCCACCTCCGGGGATCTGTGCCCGTCCTCATGTCTCCCAGCGAGTCGCCCTGGCATCAGATCTCATCCTATGTCCATGGGCAGTCCAGCTTCTCTGAAGCCCCTGAGTCACTCGGCTGAGACAGAAAGAAACAATGTCGGATCCTGAATAAGTATCAGGTCCTGTAGGAGCGGGAAGAAGTGGGTCAGAGAGACCCTCTCTGATGATCTCCAAAAGTAGGCAGGCGGCCAGGGCTGGGTGGGGAAATTCTAGTGAGCTAGGAAAACAGGCTAGATGACCAGGAAGTCCTGGATTCTGGGGTGGTAAAGGGACAGGAACCCTGGAGTCAGAGAGAAGGGTGAGATCCTTCCCTGGGTCTCTTTCTAGCAACATGTCTTTGAGCAAGCCTGGATCTCAGCTTCTTCATGCTTAAATCAGGGATAATAAGAGTACCTGCCTACCTAACAGGGGCATTTGAGGATTTAGTGAGATAACTCCAGTAAAGCACTTGGCTTGGTGCCTGGCACATAGTAAGTGCTCGATAAACACTAGATGCTATAATTTGTGTCATTACAAGGTGAGGAGCGGAAGCTGAGAAGCCATTTTTGCGTCAGGAATCCTCTGCTTGCCCTTCATCTTGGAACTCGATTTAGGTCCATCAAATGCTGAACAGCAGGGAGGGTGCAGGTGGAAGAAACATACAGAGACAACCAAATTTCAAACCCAACCTGGTGAAACTCACCTCCTACGAGGCAGCTCCCTAGGGCCAAGGAGTCTCCTGGGTCCCCGGGAAGGGCCAGAAGCCAGGGGGCAGGTGTGTGGCAGCTCTGGCCCGCAGCTGAGTCTGTGGTGAAGGCTTGGAATGTGCAGGAGGCCTTGCAACCCCTCCCGGTAGGGCTGCGCAGGGTCCCCCGTCCTGAGCCGGCCGTTTTAGACCCAAGGGTGTGGGGTTGTACTGGGCGGCTGGCCAGCCCAGCTCCCCGCACTGGGGACGTAGGCCAAGAGGGACGGGTCAGCGGTGTTAGTGATGTCCTGACAGACAGTGTGTGCACACCATGAGCCTTCTGACACCATTCCTGTGCCAAGATACCCGCAGCACTGGTGTCCCCAGGCCCGGTACATCCGCCTGCTGACTCCTTTTCAAGCCTTGGCCCAATTATCATGTCCTTCCGCAAGCCTTTCCCATCTGCAGATAGAGGCCATCACCTCTGCTCACCTCGATTAGAGCACAGACCTCGTTTTGGTCCACAGGACTGAACCCTCTCCATAATAATAACAACAATATTTACTTAGCACTTACTATATGCCAGCCACTGTTCTGGCTTGCTACATTTATTACCTCTTTTCATTCTCCTAACAACTCCAGGAAATAGGTGTTGTTTTATCCCCTTTACAGACGAGGAAACTGAGGCACAGGGAGATGGCGTGACTCACCCAGTGGCTCTCAGCTGTAAGTGGTGGAGAGGGATTCCAACTCCAGCATGGGGCTCTAGAATCTGTACCCTCACTGGGGGTTCCTGAGGGGAGGGCCAGCACCTGATTTGTCTCTGTTCCTGGCACCCAGCACAGCAGGCGCTTGGAAAAGATGGGCTGACTGGCTGAGGGAGGGCCTGAATAAGGCCGACCTGGGCACTTTCAGCTTCGAGCTGCAGGCCAGAGACACCGGGCCCCCAAGGCCGCATGAGCGGTGTCTTCTCGTAGGGTCCACCAACACAGGACTGCAGGGTTGTGCATGTGTGTGTGTGCCTCCTCTGGTCCTCTGAGACTGCTCACTGCTCCTCCCCACCCCCAACACACTTCTGCGAACCTGGTGAGTACAGAACTAGTCAGCTGTCAAGTTGAAACGCAAGTTAAGCTCTGCTCGAGACAGAGGTTTGTTTATTGCTGTATCCTCAACTCCTAAAATACTGCTAGGCACACAGTAAGCTCTCAATAAATAATTGTTGAAAGAATAAATTTTAAAAAGCAATACATTCTCTCTCCAAATAAAAGAAAGAAGGGGGTGGGGAGCAGAAGGGGCAAGAGTAAGTAGTGAGGTGCAGGGGACACGCGGGGGGGGGGCAGAGGGATGCAGCTGCCAGGCCCACCCGCCAGGCTGCCCTGCAAAGGGAAGGCAGCAAAGCCTGCACGGGCTCATGGTGTAAGCTGTGGCTTGCAGGAGGTGAGGGGAAAGGTGCAGGCAGAGACCAGGAGGGAGGGAGATGTTTCAGGGAGGAGGAGGAGGAGGAGGAGGAGGAAGAGGAGGAGGGATGACGGAGAGCAGTGTGAGGGCGAAGGGAGACAGCAGGGAAGAGGGAAGAGGCAGGGGGGTTAAGGGACTCAGAGAGGGTGCCTGCTGTCTGAGCTGTGTGGAGGAAGGTGTGGATTTGGGGTGCTCCTAGGTGCCAGACCCTGTAGGAGGCTCAACTGCTGAGGTGGCGCTGAGGCCTTCCATTCCATCCTCTCTAAAATAACGAGCTCCCATCCTAGGGCCAGAGGGCACCCTGGGCAGCAAGGGGAATGGTCAGAGGCAGCCCAGGGAAGAAAGCAGGCCCAGGGGGGTGCAGACCCCTCACTCTGTCCCTCCCCTTCCTTTCCTCCACAACAGCACAGGGCCAGGAAAGTGGGTCATACCCACGCGTGACTTTGTTGGTAGCAACAGGACCCACAGGCGAGGGGTCCTCATGTCCAGCCCTGTCTCCCGGGGCCCCAGGCTCCGTTTTGGAAAGACGTGTAAGGGGCAGGGGCAGTGGGAGGAGATGCTGGCCGGCCTTCCAGCTCAGGGAGAGAACTGGGCCAGAGCCAGTGCTGGCTGCGGGGCGGGGAGGACGGAGCCTAGCTTCATCCTGGGGAAGAGACCTCGATCTCCCCTTGCTGTCACCTCGGTGACGGTGACCAAGCTGGAGGGGAGCCGCCTGACCAGGGGAGCTGTCCTTTCCATCACCCCACCTCCTGGGATCCTCAGCAGAGGGCCTGCCAGTCCATCTCTGGCAGCCCAGCGCGTGCCCAGCCCACCCCCTCCAACCCTGCCAGTCGCCCAATTAGAAGCTGCGTTGGCTCCAACAGATGGGAGCTGCGGCAGGCTGAGGAACAGAGCACAAAGCCCAGCTGACATTTTCCTTTCTGTTCCTCCGGTGGGGGAGGAAGGGCAGGGGCCCAGGGGGCCCAGAGACACCCCTAGGGCCCCCCCGGGGGGCCTCGTGCCCCTCTTTGGCGTCTCAGCTCGGGCCCAGATGCGCTCAGCCCCTCACTCAGCCCCTCCTTGCTGCGACCGCTGGCCGGGCAGCCGAGCCCAGCCCTTCGCGCCGGCCGGTAGAGGGCCCACCTGTGGCTGGCCGGAGCCGTCTCCCGGGTGCTGGGGGCTCAGAGCCACCCTTCCGTCCCGGAGGCTCCCGCGCTCTGAGCCCCCGCTGAGCCCGGCCGGCCCACCCTCCACCCCACACGTCCCGTCCCAGGCTGCGGTTAGACCCCAGCCGGCCAGCCCGAGGGGCCTGGCTCCTGCAGCCGAGGCTCAGGCTGACCAAGGCCACCGCGTCCCCTCCGGCCCCAGCAGGGGGTCCCCGGCCCTGGAGCGCTTGCGTCCTGCTGGTCCGCCCGGGCACGCCCTCCCTAACCTGTCCGCCACCTCCGGGCAGCTGGACGTCCCAGGGCCCTGCTCTGCCCAGCAACAGTTTGGGGGAGGCTCCGGCCTCTCGGGCGACAAGGCCCAGCCCCTCCGCCGCCGCTCGGGCCCGGCCGGGGGCAGCTGGCCCCCTTCCCGCACCGTCTCCGGCTCCCTCGGCGCCTCCCCGGACGCCAGCCCGGCTGCGGGCATCTCGGCGGCCGGCCTCCCTCCCTCGGCCCCGCGGGTCAGGACCGGATACGGGCAGCCGGGGCGACTCCTCCCGCCGCGTCGCCCGCAGCCGCGCCAGCGGCCTCGGTGTTCGCGCCCCCCCGCCCCGAGCCGAGCCGCGCCGCGCCGCGCCGCGCCGCGCACTCACCCTGCGGGCGCCGTCCAGGTCCGCTCCGCGCTCGCCTCCAGCCGGCGGCGCCTCTCCGCGGCGGGCAGCGGGCGTATCCCGCGGGCTCGCCGGGCTCCAGCCCCTCCCGCCCCGCGGCCGGCGGTGCCCGGGGCGAGGGCGGTGCCCAGAGCGCCGAGCGGGGCCTCGCGGCGCCCGGCCACCTCCGCGCACCCCTCCACCCGCCGCTCGCTCCTCGCCTCCTCACTCGCTTCTCCGCCGCTCTCCCAACCTCCCCGCCCGCTGCGGTCGCCTCCTCCCGCCCGCCTGCCACGCCAACCCGCCAGTCCCGCTGCCGCGTTAACTCCTCAATGTCCGCTCCCCCGCCCCCCCAACGCGCACAGCCGGGGGCGGAGTTGGGTGGGGCCGAGGCTGGAGCTCAGCTGCCCTCGTCCTTTAGAACCCAGGCTCGGCGAGAAGGGCACTGCTCTGGGACCTGGGATGCGGACCAGATGACTTCTTGATTCCTCTTCTGACCCTCGTGCAAGGGCCAGGAGGACAGAAGCGAAATTCAGCAGCCTTTAGAGGATAAATGCGGCTCGTGGGCACCAGCAGGTACCCGAGACCACATTTTTGCTTGGGGCGCTGCTATCCTGGAAAGTTAACCGCGGACTAAGGAATGTGCGGGTGGGTTTGAGTTAGAATTTGTCCCTGGGCACAAGCACCTGTCACCCCAGTGAATGGATGGAATAGCCCCTGGGTTCCCCTGCCTCTCCAGCATGGCCTCCTGAGGCCGTCGCTCCAGCCTTCCAGAAGAGCCATCCTGGGCTGGGTTAAGATCAGTCTATCTAGGTAAGAGTGAGGGAGGAACTGGCAGGACCACCCCCGCCCCGCTGTGGGTTTTACCCTGCAGACTGGGTATCCTGAAGACAGGAAAGAAGGAGGGCAGGGACTCAGCTGCGCAGAAAGTCCGGACTAGGCTACTGCCCAGTGGCTTAGAAAATTTGGGCCACTGCCACCAGCTCTGGAAAGTGGGTCTCCTGCTGAGGCAAAGGCTTCAGACCCAGGTCTTTGAGGGGCCCACTCAGAAGGGACAACAGCCCAATGACAGGCCACACCCTACTGATGGGCTCCATCAGGACCTGCAGAGCTAGCAGTGGAGGAGGGGGAGCCCCAGGGACAGGGAGTCCTGCAAGGCCTGGCGTCCCTGGGGTGCCTTCCTGCACCCAAGCTTGAGCTCAAGGTCCCTGACCAGACAGAGACCCAGCTTTCCGGCCCTGTCCTCTCCACTGATGCACGCAGTGCTGACTGCCATGCCTGGAGGCTTTGTAAAGTGGGCTCGAAGGTCCATGTGTTTGTTCTTCACAGAGGGATTTGCTCTTACATCTATCCAATAAGCACATACATGTTCCCATCCAATCCCCCCACCCTCCACCCCTGCTGTGGGGCACAATGGCCTCAAGGATCTGAGAGGACAAAGTTGAAACTAAAGAAATACATTTTAGCATTTCAAGGCAATGGCTGTACCACAGAAATACAGCAAGAAAATGGCATTATGGGCTCGAGTTATTCATGGAAGGTTTTATAGAGGAGCTGAGCTTCCAGCTGAGCCCAGCTGGAGAGATAGGATTTGAACCAGCAGAGAAAATGGGGACCAACAAGGCAGGAAAGTGGAGACAAGCAGAGAAAAATGGGTTGCCTGGAAGATAGCGGGCAAGGGAGGAGATTTGTACAGCACTATCAGGTGCCGGCCTTTTTACATGCTTCTCACTCATCTGAGCTCCGAGCTGACTGATACCCCATTCAACAGACTGAAGAATGGAGGCTCAGAGAGTGTAAGGAAGTAGCCTGATCTACAGGCAGAGCTGGAGTCCCCGTCTCCGCAAGCATTCTGGCTACACTGTAGAGGGAGTGTGAGGGTGGGAGCTCCTGCTGAAGCAGCAGGTGACCTGTGGCCCAGGGCAGGAGTGGTTTGGGATGAGAGGCCGGCAGAGCAGAGGCCAGGCAGGGAGGTGGCCGCTGCAGGGTCGCAGGAGGGGCAGTGAGAGTGCAGAGCAAATACCGTGGACTTTGGAAGGAAGCCTTGGCAGAACTAATTGACCGAAAGTGTTCACAAGTTGACTCAAAGGTTTTGAGTCTGAGCATTTGGGTCCCTCGTCAAGACAGCAGTGCTGTCTTTGCAGCCGGGAGGCCTATGTCAACATATAGAGGCTGAGGGGGAAAGAGGGAGAGCTTGCCAACCCTGGGAAGCTCATGGCTCATCCCAGCGCCCTCCTCCCTGTATGTGTGCACACGGCCCAGCGTGCATTACTGAGGCTGAGTCGGCCCTACGCAGCACCCCATAGCTATTATTGAGGGGCAAATGGGAAGAAAGCAAAGCACATTTGCCACGTGGCTGACCCCTGAGTGGCAGACTTGTACCCCACTAGGTGAGGCACAGGGGAATTACAACAGCTATGAGGGAGCCTGGGGGAGCCTGCTCTTGAGCTGACTCCAAATTATTACAACCCATGAAGACTCTATAGAATCTATAGAAGTTTTAATGTTCGAGAGATCTGAGTTTTAAACTCTGCTCACCCATGTGTTCTGTGTTGCTTCAGGAAAAGTGCTAAACCTTGCTGAACTCTGATTCTTTCCTATGTCAAAAAATATTAATTCAAGCTGGACATTGTTCACACATCTGTATTCCCAGCTTCTCTGGACGATGAGATGGGAGGATTGCCAGCTCAAGGTCAATCTGGGCAATTTAGATCCTGAGATCCTGTCTCAAAATTAAAAATAAATAATAAATGAAAAGGGCTGAGGTTGTAGTTCACTCATAGAGTGCTTGGCTACTATGCACAAGCTCCTAAGTTCAACTCTAGCACTGCCAAAAAAATTTTTTTTTAATTCAAGTAATAGAAGTTAACATGAGCACCTGCAAGGTAATGATTTCATTTGTGCATCATCACACTGAAAATTTCACCAATTCCAGGACTCAGAAAATAGGGGAAAAGCAAGGTCAAAGCCAGGCATGGTGCCACACGCCTGTGATTCCAGCACTTGAACCCTGAGGCAGGAGGAATACCATTGTGAGTTCAAGGCCAGCCTTGGGAAAATTAGGAGATGCAGTCTCAAAATAAATAAACAAACCAAATGAACAAAACAAGACATCAAAAACAAGGTCAGTATTCCCAAGTAGTACATCATAGAGCTGAGACCTAAACTCAAGGCTATCAAAACGCACAGAGTCTAAACATGAAACCAATTCCTGGCTGCACTTATTTGGGGTGAGGGTAGCAATAAGGATATGAATTCAGACACGCAGGATGCAGCGGTCTGGTGGTGAGCTCGGTGCCTGGCACAAAGCGCATCTCAGCAAACGGCAGCCACCTCTCTCCACCTGGCTCTCATGGCTACCGTTCTGAGCTGGATACTTTCCTGGGAGAAGTGGGGGACTCAATCCCTAGTCCTCTGGAAGCTCTTAGGTAATTACTCAGAGGATTTAATGGCTCTGTTATTGACCTTTTGCCTTCCAAGTTTAATCTCAGGGCTTAGCCAAGCATAATGTCCTGCCAGGAAGCCCAGGACTCTGTGACATCAGAGTGACTCTTGAGAGGGATACCAGGATCCCTCGCCACCAGAAGTATCCTGGGCTCAACCTTCCTGGCTATTCAGGGGAGGGGCTTGGACTCTGAACTGGTGGCTGTGCTATTTGTGTGGTGGGGGCTGTGAGGAGAGAAACCTGGTAGATGAGGAAGGAAGCTGGGGATGTGGTGGGACAATCTTTGGGGGATCCTCTGCTGTCGGACGTGGCCTCTGCTAGCCTCCAGCTCAGGAGATGCAGAACAGGGCCTTGGAGTCTCTGAGGACTATGGTCCCAGCGGTGACCCAGCTCAGAGGGTGGCCCTAGGGCAAGGGTCCTCAGACATCAGAGTCACCCAGACAGCATGCAGATCCCACCCCAGAGGCAGGTTCTGTAGCTCTTGGAGTCTGCAATGGGATAAACGCTCTGGGTGATTCCAACTCAGGTGATCAGATGGACCTTGCTTTGAGACATGCGGGCCTAGGGGTTCGTACTGTTCTCCCACCTCTTCTGGCCTGGGCTCTCTAGGTGCAGAGCTTTGTCCTCTGGAGCACTGGGGATCAAGGGAAGCACATGCCCAATGAAGCTGACTCAGCTTAAGCTTTGTGATGTGTCACTCGGGGGATGGTGGGGAGAGGGTTAGCCATGGAGGCCGGGAGTTGGAGTGTTGCAGGTGGGCAGGGAAAGCCAGCTTGCAAATGCCAGGAAGCATTTTTTTGTAAGCATTTTGGATAAACTGAATGGAGAGAGGGCAGGAGAAAGGGACCCGAATTTGCAAGACTTGTGTAAATTGTTGTGATCTTTTAGTGCTAAATAAATATCACTATTGGGATTGATTTTATATTTATGATATTGTGTTCTTTTTCACCACAAAAATGGGGCCTTCCTCTGGCCTCTGCCCTCAGGGAGCTCCCAGGATCCACAGATGCCCTGGGAAACACAGAGTACCAGAAAGGCAGGGGGACCTACACAGCAGATGGCAGAGCTGTGTGGAACTGCAGTGAGTCCCCAAATTTATCTTGGATTATATTCCTGGAAAAGGCATTGCAGGTAAAAATGATGTAGGATGAATCTGTTTCCACCCAGAAACCACCTGATAGTGGAAGTGACATTCCTCACCAAGGTCTCGGTACCCAACTTGTTATAGGCATACACATAAGCACCATATTTAATCAAATGTAAAGGGTACACCTGTCCTTCGTATTTCCTCAATTGAATCTGAGTATCTAAAACAGTTAAACTGGGCAATATGGTAACCAAATCCCATTCTGTTTAGCTTAACATATTCAAACAATTCCCGGGGAAATGCTATTTTGGGGAGAGGGAGTATGGAAAAGACTGGGGAGTTTCTCCTCCCCCCATAGAGACCCCATAGAGATAAAGAGGGTGGCTCTCAGAGGTCTGAATTTGGGGGACACGGTTTTATGCCCCACAGCACACTGAAAACAAACCAACCAGTAGTCTCCTGAGTAGTCCGGCTGGCCAGCTCCAAAGTGGACATCTCTCAGGTTCAGGGTGCCACCAATACATCAGGAGCAGGGAGCACCTGAGAGGGCTTGGAGTAGCTGAACTGGGGTGCCTCTCGG